TGTACTCAGGAAAGCTTTCAGATGACACTACCAAATCCTTCACTTTTCCATGTGAATGAGTGACAGGCGGAATGGCAATACGTTTTGTCACAAACTTGGTTTACCAGAAAGACAGCTGAAAACATCAGATTAGTATCATTTTATGAGATTTGGATTCATGGGTTGTCCACGTTATCTGAATGCACCTGTATGTTTAACTCTGTATTTATACCAGCTTGAGCTGACTTCTTGGCAGTAGGATTTAACTAGTTTTAGAGCAACTGCATAAAACATACGTACCAGCTCAGACTGCACCATCTAAAAGTCAAGCAAAGATGGAGTTGCATTCAAGATGGTAAAACATCAAAAATTAAACGGCATGGATTGATTGCAGCAGGGAGGAATTTGAAGAAAGACATGCTTAGTTCAGATACTGAATTTTCCTCTGTTTGGATTGAAGGTTTTCCTTTTTATTAATTTGATTATTAGGTTTCTTCTTTTGCAGTTATGTGTTCCCTATTGTCCTGAAAAAGACTCTGGTAAGAAAGATGAAGAATTTTCATTTACCTTGTTCCATCATCTCCAGAAGGCCTTTCTTAATGAGTTCATCCCGACCTTGTCGTGCTGTCATCTTCTTCTCCAGCACTGCACGAAAGAGTAGCATAACACAGCACCAGTTAACAGAGTGTTCATATAATGGAGTGGGAAAGATGTAATGGGGAGATTCCCTCTAGTCTCAACTACTGTGTGCTTGGAAAGAACTGCAAGGATTTTGTTTTGGGGAGCATGAACCAGTCAGCCTGTTTGTGCCTTTGTTAGAACAGCTGTAAAATCACCCACGTGTAGAGCTGAGGTTTATGATCTAACCTACTGTCTGATCACACCGAGTGCAGAGTAATGGGGATATTAGAGCCTTTGTGCTGTTTAATTCAGCACATTGGAGCTGCCCCAGGAAGCAGTGTCCTTTACTGTGACACTCCACAGGATATCAAGGCAAGTGGAAGGAATTGCACCATCCTACCTTAGGAAAGGCAAGAGAGTTTGTCTCCTTGCTGATCTCCTGGGACATCCCTGGAGACTGGGGAGAGCATGCAGTGCCGTGTGCTGGGCTCCTTCACCGCAGAGACAGCTGCTTCAGGGAAGGCATTTGACGTGCTGTAGCTCGCTCCTGTCACTCTTCATAATGTTACTGTGACCTATATAATCTTCACCCCAAATAAAAGGGGTGATGATACTTGGGGCCATATATGTAGCTTATTTTGGAGAAGGGAGAGCCCATGAAAAGTAATCTGTGTCGAGGCTTGTGCTTCACTCCTGTATTTTGACCTTTCCTTCTAAATGTACTATATTATATTTTATTATAAAGCAAGTCAGGCCACGTGGTCTCTTTCTAGCCTTAAGCATTATTAATCTGTAACATGCTGAAATCTCTGAATTAGGTTTAGATCAGGTCACCATTAACATTTCCTATGTAAGCAAATTTCTCCCAAGCTGAGCTTTGCTCTGTGCAGCATCACTCTCTTGTTCTCATCCTACCTGCAGATGTCTGCTTTAGCTTCTCGTTTTTCTTTTTCCGCCATTTCCATGGTTTGAAGATCCTGCCCAATGTTGCCAGTTTGCTGTTCCTCCTCACTGGTGGAGTTCGAATCCCTGAGACCAGGTAGTCAGAACGCATTGCAGGGGACTGCTCCATCTCATCTGAGAGGGGAAGAGAGGAAAGCCAGCCGTCAGACAAAAAGCTTCAGCATAGACTTCAAAATTGGAGGCAAATGGGGGCTCAGCAGCCAACAAGCATTCAGTGTGGTCACCGAGAGAAGCAGTGCAAGACTTTGAAAGAAAGTCTCTGCATTGCTGGAGCCAGTGGCGAGGCTGAGGGACGCCAACATTGACCTCACTGTGCCTTTTAAATGAACTCTGCACATAAGCTAACACAGAACACACTGACCTGTGTGAGCTAATGCAAATCTTTTCTATAACAGTCTGTTTGATATATGCTGCGTAAGTAAAACCCTAGAACTATTGTGCACATTTATTCCTTGAGGAAAAAAAGATCTTTCCATTTTGTCCAGCCAAGCCACTGGAATTCAGAGATAATAAAAGCTGGAAAAGCAGTTTAGGTATTTTTAAGATTATGCCTTAAAAATACACTAAGTTTTGCTTATAGGCAAGTGTTGTGCTAAACAATACATACTTGACTATTCACAGTTGTGTCCTAGCCAGTACCAGGAAAGCAGCACAGTTCCCTAAATGAGGCTATTGATGGCTTTACTGAGCTTTGTATTTGAGTACCAGTACAGTGATTGTTAGAAGCTGCCATCAGACATGTTACACTGAATAAAAACTGAATGACAACTTGTATTTTTTTCAACACTCAGTTAGGATTTAAAGGAGCAATATGGAGCTATGAACATATGCACATTTCCAAGTAATTTCTCTCTGGAACAACACCACCTATCATAAATTGCTTTATGACTGCAAGATAAAAACTATACAGCATCTCCTAGGCTTTGTTTTGAAGTTAACGGGGTGAAGATGCTTACATTGCAGCATGGAGGTGGGATTTCCAAGTAAACAGGAAACAATTTTTGGAAGACTGTTAAACACAGCAGGAGAATGAACACATTACTCCTCTTCCATTTAATTTTGAAAATACTGGTAATAGAGATGAATCATTCTGTGAAGACAAACTGAAAACTTGGTGATGTGAACTGTCAGAGCAGAGAGAAGATTATAACAATTCCTAATCCCCCCCCCCCACACACACACATTATGCATGTGCCATGAATTTCTTTTTCTATGTACTGAGTTTAGAGCATCTTTTGTCTCATTCCACAAAGTTTATATTGGAGTTTAATTTACAACAGATATAAAATGTATGTAAAAATATGTTTTTGCTTTTGAAAGAATGGTGTCTACCTAAGGTGATATTTATGATTTACAGTTTGGAGGTCAATATTAAGTTGGGAGCAGAAACTAACAATGAGGACAGGAGGACAGTAGCCTACGGACCACAGCTGGAGTGCCAAGACACCATGCTCCTTTCCTAATTACATATTCAAAAATGAGAAGTATTGCAGAAATAAGCCTTGAAGAAGTAGAGCTGCTCTTGATTACAGAGATGGCAATGAGAATGGAAAATAGCAGAGTAGATCTGCTATTAATTTGCTATCATGATTACTTTAAAGCTGTAATAGAAGCCTCAGAAAACAGCATTTGGCCATTTCTTGTGACATCCCTTGAGTGGAAATGGAAATGTTCACAAAATTAGCTCATTTCAGAAGAGCTGTAGATCAGACTGTAAATCAGACCCTTTTTCCTGGAAGCTGCAGTGGAGCAGGACAGCCTCAGCTCAGCCATCCCTGCTCCTTGCTCGTGAGACGGCGCTGCTGCTGATACCCTTCCTACCATCCCAGGAATTTCTCAAGCATGTAAGTGAAGATTAAGTAAGAAGCTGATTTAAAGCAGTACCTTGGCAAGTTACTGATCCTTCTACATTTCATTCAGGATGTAGGTGTCTGCAAAGTGGTTTAGGCATCATCCACATGTTTTGTTTAACACTGGTAGCATGAGATCATTTCGCCTTTTTTGCCAGATAGCAGGGGACATAGACAGAACCAGGAGCTCATTCAGACCCAAACCTGTGTGTCTTTAGCAGTGTTTATTATCCCAGATAAGCCCATAAGAAAGAGAATAGGGAGATATTGCAAAGACACTAAGATTTCTCTAAGTGCCTTGCAGTGATCAGTGCTTCTGTAGTTTCTACGAGCCCTGCTAAGTGGGCTTCTTCCATCAACCTCTGCCTTCTTGGTTGTGGAAACGTAAGGATTTTGTGACTTAGACTTTGATTACAGGTAAAATACAGATGAAATACAGATAGAAATCAAATGTCAAAGAAGTACTAGTAGCTAAAACAAATGTTCCAGTGGAGGTTTTTGTGGGCTTTTAAACTTTATTAATGCTTCTCATATGGTACAGACAGCTCTTAAGCAAATGGTTTTATCACCTGGCACATTCTCACCATATGCAGTTTCTACACTGTGTGTTTGGAGAGATGGACACAAATAAGAATAGAGACACAGTAAGACAGATGTCTTGAAGTCATAAATAACAAGGAAATGGTCTCACTGGCAATGAGAACCACAAGAAAGCCCTTGGAGCTCCTCATTTCCAGTCAGTTCAGTTTTTTCTTGGTTGTGGGTTGGCTGCTTGGGAGATAAAAAGTTGACAGCACGAAAAGCAGTTCCCACGTACAGCAATGAATACTGAAGGAGAAGGCACGCCTAAATACCAGCCAGTTCCTGCAGCCAACAAGCTGCCAAGACTTGCCAACCCTCCAACCACTCTGTGAAATATTCAGCACATTTTTTTAATCTGTATTCAATATTTTAATTATGCTAACTGTTCTGTGGAATAATGCAGTTATTTCTCCCAGGGCCTGGGGCCAGGCCATGCAATTACACAGAGAGTATCTGCAAGATATAAACAGCCAGGAGCTAAATCAAGACTCTCCAAATCAGCAGCAATGAGCAACAGCTTAAATAGCTGTGTAACATAGAAGGATGAGGGACGGTCATCTACAGGGTCAAGCAAGCACAAGCTTAACCCACAGCACAGCAACCTAACCCTGCCCAGCACAGGGAGGCCAGGCTCCGCTTGGCCATCCCTGCTGAGACAGACCAGTTGGTCCCACACTGTCCCACAGGTCATCAGCCCTGTGGGCCAGAGGATTTTGCTCAGACTGCAGCTTGATGGCTGTTTATATCAAAATTACTCTCAAGTTTCTGCTGTACCCTATTGAGCTTCTGTGCTGGAGCTCCAGATCAAAACAAGTTCCTCGTATATCACGCAGTTGTAATCTGCTCTGTATGTGTCAAAAGGATGGAAATGAATGTGGCTATGCCCCTGGTGCTGATGCTGGGCAAGAGCTTCTTACAGTGCTAGCTGGGGTAATGTCTAGAGCTCCTAACAGTGGGCAAGAGCGTGAACAGTTTGTTGTTTGAGACATCCCAAATCAGATGAGGGGAGAGGTTCTGACCTGGGCTGCAGAATAAACCAGGCAACAGAGCAGAAGCAAACCAACCATAGTATTCATTACATTTGGCTGCAGAGTCTGACCCCTCAGCAAGTCTGAACATTTGCAACTTCTGTTTACGTCATCAGCAGTTGTAGTGATCAGTGTTTCTGAAAAATGCCCCATTGCTTGCTTCTTTAAAATATTGTGGTGACATAGATATATCACTCTTCTCGTTAGTCCCTTCCCTACAGGAACTGTACATGGATTGTGCAGTATTCCTGCATGCAGAAGCTCTCCCATTTACAGATGTCAAGTCCTGACTCTATCCCATTCAGCCTCTCCCAGAAGTGGGGCAGATTTGCTGGGAGTACTGTGCAGTTTGTGTCCTGGATGTGTGCTGGAAGTGCCTTATGCCTGCAGAGAGCCTTCATTTGTACAGTGGTGCTGAGGCAATCATGTCTAGATGATAAGTGTTGTGAAACTGAGCACTGGGTTGAGTCAGTTGGGTTTATTTTCTTGGGTTTTTCATGATGAGCCAAAACGTCTGCAGCTCAATGCCTGGGTTGCTGATTATAGCAACTGCAGGCTGCACTCCGCAGGCTGATGTATGGCAGTTGGGAATATCAGGAATCCGGAGCCGAGTTACACTGACCTTGCCACAGAGAGGGGCTGCAAGGGACTTGGGGTGCCCTCTCGTGCATACAGAACTTGCACCAAGAAGTTGATGGGAAGATGAAGGATGCTGAATTTTAATGTGCTGGGAATGTTGGTAACTTAAATTCATGGTAATGGAAGTTGTGCCTTGCTAAATCCTCTGTGTACACTGTTAGGAGAAGGACCTCTGAAAAATCTGCAACCTGCAGTCAGTTTAAAAATAACACAGCAGACAAGAGCTGCAGGCAGCTCTTGTAAGGCAGGCGTGCTCTGTTTTCTGATGAATTGGTTTGTAATGCAGCTCTGCATTTCTCCCCTTTATTGTCATTGCATCTGTCTTTGCAACTCGGATACAGAGTTGGAAAAGGAAAAAAGGTTCCCTTTCGCCCACTCCAGAGGGTAGAGACAGTGAGTGGAATCAAAATGACCTTTTTGGCTTTGGGGATAGACGTGCTTTTACCATTGCTAACTTGCAGGACTGCCTAGAAGTAGTGTCTACCTCTAAAAAGAACGTTAAGGAGGATGTCACAGGGAGAGCTGGGCTTTTTAAAGGTTCATGTCTGCTACTGGTCAGTCCTGAATCATGCAAGCTGGACATCTGTGAGGTTAGCCAAGACACAGCACTTCTCTGCAAAGGGTGCTCTGTACAGAGGGAAACCTGCAGAGGAAAGAAGGCAGAAAGGCTGTCCTGGTTTAGAGTAAGGACTGTCCTGAGCTTTGGGAAAGAGAATTAGCAGCAGGAACAAATGCCTTTTTCCTTAGTTTAGCATCCTAAAAGAGGAAGAACTCATCACTGTGATTGATAGGGGTGAATTGTTTGTGTCTAGGAGCCTTTGAACACTTCTGTTACATTCCAGAGAAGCGAAATTCAAACGGAAGAGCTTTTTTATTGCACCAGTGAGACGTTTCCTGTGATGGAGCTCCTCCTTCTTCTAAAAATGTTTTCTGTCACCTGCATTTCTGCAGACGTGCTCTCTTTCTTGACTCTTTTTGAAAGAAAACTGCAGTGGAATGTTCCAGTTTGA